CAAATATGACCGGATCCAGTTCAGAATGTTGCCACCAATACCAAGAGTTGCTCACTTGTGTTTTATCAATTAGTGAGAAATCTGGTCGAACGCTTTGCTGACGTCAATAAATACCACGTGCGTTGGGCAATCCCTGTCTTTCGAGTCGGCACAGGACTCACGGGCTAACAACAGATTTGTCGCACAAGGTTTTCCGCGGGTGAAACCAGGGAATCGTCGATCGCTTGATTCATGAAGGCTTCGAGAACCTATACTAAAGCCGAGGTGAGAGTCACTGGCCTGAAATTCGCGGGAAGCGCTTCATCATCAGATTTATAAAACGGTTTCACGACCGCAATCTTCCAATCCCGAGGAAGAGTGCTCGTACTGATTGGCGTTTGAAAAATATCCAGAAAAGTGGAGCAATCAGATCTGCAAATGCTTCAACATAAGTGGGTGCAAGTTGTCAGGTCCAGGCGAGGTCGAGGACTTGAGGGCAGCTAAAACACGGACAACATGCTTTACCGACAACTCAATATTCGTTAAAATCATCGGGCCTTGAAATGGCGGAAACACCGTTGTTATCGATTGCAGTTGGCTTACTTAGACACCCCGGTATTTTAATGCCAAGGCTTGCGCTTTTTCCCTGTCCGATAACATACGTTTTCCATCCGCTGCAATTAGCTCTGGGATTCCAGGTTGAGCTTTGCGACGATGATTGATATAGGCGTGGAACCGCTTTGGCTGAGAGTCCGAGACTTCCAGTATAGGACCTTCGTTATCTCTATTACCTTGCCTGATAACGGCGTGGCATTCATTACTCACTTGATTTTAGCGGGCAAATGCAGATTGCGTTCCAAGTGAGCGACATGCTTGCCACGCTCGTTCGCTACTCCGTAACAAGCGTTGTGCCGTACGGCCGATCCAGGGAAGAAATGGCCAAGACGAACCAGGGCAGAGATTAGATTAAACCCCTCAACAAGTGCATTAAAGTTAGATTTAAACAGAGCGCATTTTTCGTCTAGAGAGGCAGCGGTCCTCACATCCCAAAGCAAAAGTTGAGCAGCTTGACGTATGCCGTCAAACATTTGGTCTGGGTGGTCTCTGGGGTCTAACTGTTGGTCTTGAAAGCAGATAGTACGCGGAAACAACACAGTGATCAACAGTGACAATTGGATTCCAAATCGTGACATTCGAACTTTCTTCATGCTGGTTAGTTTAGATTGATTCCAAAGACAACGACGAAGAAGGAGATATCCGCGTAGGCGACAGCACATTTTGCACAAGACCTGTGACCGAAACAACATTAAGAAAAACGTTGCCAATGACCAGTTAACTTAAGGGAGATTAAAATTGCCCAAAATATAAATACGAGAAGATGAGGCATATTCAGCGAATGTGCCAAGCAAGGCCAGTGACGAAGTACTAGGATTTTTGTACACAACACCCACCGTTATAAGTGATTAGCGGGAACTAGAAACTGCCACCCAAAGTTGTTCAACAAGGCCTTTAACTCCCAGGCTTCGAATAACCTGGCTTTGGAGTTCTTGTTTCATGTACAAGGCAACCCGCCATACGCAGAGCGGACTCTATCAGTTCGGAAAGCATTGTAGCCAGTGATGTGAACTTCAGCGTCACCAATATCAGGATGGAGCCAGGTTTCCGTGATTTCAAAGAAGAACAGCCTCTGGTTGTTAACCCAATAGGGAACTCAGCGAGCTTGGGAAGCAAGCTTCTGGCTTTTATTAGACAAAGTTATTTTAGAAACTGAAGCACAGGCGAAACTCTTGCTAGAGCGCAAA